GCTGTCACTGAGAATACAGAATTCCTTCCAGTGTACCCTGGGCCTTCCTCTTGACCACTGACCCCTTTGTGGCACAAAACCTGCTCCACATGTCCCCCTTCTCCCTCTGCACCTACATAACCATGCTCTCGCCCTCTGGGAAAAAGGTGAATGGAAAAACAGCACAAGGTACTCAGCCACTGAGCAGAGCCTTGTGATGAAGACTCATGGCAAATTATCAGCATACCTTCCTGTGCTTAAAAGTTATAGGAAACATTCTCTTCTAATAATGGCACAGAGTAATGGCCAATATTTGCCTCTTATTTCCACTGCTCATAGGGAAAGAGCTTAACATGTAGTTAGCCCTAGAAATGGAACAAATGTTTTGCATACATTGGTCCCATAATCCTCATAGCCCTGTGAGTATGCTAGCCCCATTATTCTTTTATAACAAGGCTCGTAGTCAATAAATAGTAGATCCAGGACTCAAACAAAAATTTCAGTGGTTCGAAACCATGTTCTTTTCACCAAAGCACATCTCTGACATTTAAAATAAGTTACGGTCTACAAAGCTAATATAACAGCAGCAGTCCTTTGGCCAGGATTTTACAAAATGCCACTGTTAAAGAAATAAAATCTGCAAGGGTAAGTTTCCTGTTCTATTCCAACTATTCTTACCAAACACCATTCACCAAAAGGTATTTTTAAGTTTACACTTCCCACAAGTATTATTGACAAATGTAACAAGCAATACATTTGACGACTTTTCACATTTTCTGTAGCGTTAGGGGCAGGTGAGGGTTTAATAAACCTGCTTCCTGGCCAAGTAGCTCAGTTGGTTCGAGCAGCGTCCTGATATGCCTAGGTTATAGGTTTGATCTCTGGTCAGGGCACATATAAGAATCAACCAATTAATGCATAAATAAGTGAAACAACAAACTGATATTTCTCTCTCTCTCTCTCTCTAATATCAATTAAAATAAAAATAAACCTGCTTAACTGAGGAAATTTACTTTTGATGTCAGTGTTGCTTATTCATAAATTTGAAACAGATGGCCTAACTATCCTGTAATGATTTTCCATGTTGTGCTTAAACAGACAAAAATTCTTACCCAGTAGACTATTGGAACCTTTTCCCATTAACCCAGGTTCCTGAACTACAGAAACTATAGCAATCACCCAGTAGGTGGCACTATTTGTGCTGGCTACCCAGTTTTCTACTTTAGTCCAGTGACTCAGGTCAGAGGTCTTAGTGTCCTGCTCGTTATGTTTGAAACAAATCTAGCCCCACATAGAAGCCAAGTAACCATGCCTTGCACATTACTTGTTTGTGGAGAATACATGTACAGAACAGGACTGATCTGTCAGAGGTAGGTTCTCAGGAACGTTTATCATATCTCCATCCCAATTACTTTTTTCCCCCACATAAGTGAGCTGTAGAAGAAAACAAGTTACAGCGACAAAAGGGGCCCTTGGAGATCAGGAGAGAGAAGGGTAAAGGTCTCACACCTAGGGGAAAGAGGAGGGGGACAGGAAAGGCGTGGGCGTGCTCCCGAAAGGGAGAGCACCCCAACTACTTTTCAGCTTGGCCAGTCTCTCTCCACATAACAAAGCAGGGAGCAGAGGGAAGCCCTGGGGGATAGGAGGAAGGTAGGCAATGCTACAAGCTATTTGCTGAGCTAAGCAACCATAAAACCTTTTTTAAAATTTTCCCAGAAATCTACAGTGAACTTTACTTTGATCTATATAGGCCCAGATGAAACCAGGGTGACTCCACTCCACTATAATCTGCTCTCAGCATTGATATAATTTATTTGAACCTAATTGAAGACCCGCAGTACTCACATCCAGAAGCCATTCTCAGCCTCTATTCTGCTTGAGACTACCCTACCGATCCCTCAACTCTGCCCTTTGGAGGCATATGCTTCTAAGTATAACTTTTCATATTTCACAATCTAGAACTTGGGTATAATCTAGCCTCTCAAACAGCTGGGGGGCTACTTATATGCTTCAAAATGAAGTTATTTCTGTGCTAAGGGGAGATACCAAGGGCAGGAGACAAAATTCTTCCTTCTTCCTTTCAAGTGCAGCTCTCCCAGACCTGCACTTCCTTCTGGAACAGCAGAGAAGCATTTTATACTTTTAAAACGTTCCTGGGGAGAATCTCATATAGGTGGTATATAACCAGTCTTTGAGAATTCAACACAGAGTCAATGTATGGACCAACATAACTAGACTAACTCTGTTATGTCCAGAAGCATACATTTTGATGGAGTAAAACAAATTACTTGCATTTATCATTGGAAGTGAGTCAAGAACTGGTTTTTAAAAACATGTCAATAGCCCTTCAGTTAGGGTTACCTTAGACAAGTACAGTGATAGTGAGGACTGCATTGTCAACAGCGTCCCAAGATACCTGGGCTCTATTATAGTTCAATAGCTGGTCACCTGGCTTGGGTAGGCATGTTCTCAAAACGTGTGGAGCCACACCCTGGTTGGTTTTGCTTAGTGGTTAGAACATCGGCCCACCAACCCAAGGGTGGTGGGTTTGATTCCACGCCCCAGCAGAGGTGCGTGCAGGAGGCAACCAGCCATGTTTCTCTTCCCCACTTCCACTCTACTGAAAAATAGTTTCAGGTAAGGATTAACAAAAAAATTATTAAAAACTTGGGGGAGCCACAAAATAAAATTGTGGGTTACTTATCAAGGCCTTTCAAGACTTAAATAAAATGTCTGGTTGTCAAACCTGTTAAAATGTTCAGTTTCTTTACATCACACCAGTATCTCAGAGTGCTGCATAGCTCTTACGTTCTTAATGAGAAAAAAATGTGAAATAAAAGGCTCATCAGATGGTCTGGCCTTGATTTTCTCTGGTCTGTTCCTTATTCTGTGGTTTGTGCTGTGAGAAACCATCATTAGACCTTTTAGCTCAGAACCCTGAAGTAATTTGGTTATAGTATTTGAGCACAAACTCTGGTGCATCCCTAATAAAGCAAACGTCAAAGAATTTGGAGAGAAGTTTAATATACCTGGAAAGTAAATTATTTTTCTAGCTTCTCCCTTGGGGCCTAACATGACAGTGCTATATTTCAAAGGTCACAACTAGATTTTCTCTGACGCAAACCTTAATATTAATCATTTATAAATCACTTTGTGAAAGGTGGGGCTGTTTAATCACCCCAACATTTTAGAGACTCATTACACAGATGTATTGTAGCCTAGTACATCTGCCTTTACCCATCATAGAACTCGTGATAGGGAAAACCTGTGACCCTCTTTCCTACTAGCAATGTTCAGACTCTCATCAGGGGACAAAACAAAGAGCAAGAAAAATAGATTTAAAAATAAAAAGGCTATCACAGGGCAAGTAATCCCAAGAATAAGCCTAGAGGTAAGAACAGACTTAAATTCAGAAAAGTGGTCCACGTTGATACCATTTCCACATAGTTTTCAGGTTTGTTGTCTCTAAAACCTTTCCAAATACGTTAAATGAGCGAAAGAATCATGGCAACCTAAAACTGCTTGGAGCAAACAGTCATTACCTTCATACCAGAAAAGGGAGGGCATTTCAGTAACGGGAATGTCAGATCTATATAAACTTCAACAATTGCCACCGTGTCTTCAGACTGATGTAACAGTCTCATTTTGTACCTTCTATGGACACTTTTTGGGCCAGTTAGCCACCTTCCTGTACTTTAAACACTCATATCATAAATTATAACTTTTTTTAAAAAAGTAACCTCACATCTATTTGTGTTTGAGCCTTAATTCTTGTGGCATTATCTCAACCAAAAAAAAAATTAAACATTCTTTTAAAATGTGAAATGATAAAAATACAAGTGACACATAGTACTATAAATATTCAGGGTGTCCTCGAGTTAAACTGTCCTCAAATTCAACAGAATTACTGAAACGCCAGGAAACCTGTTTAAATGCTGATGGGAAAGCACAGGCACTAGTCCCCATCACGCAGGCCATGGGCTTCATCTTTCTACTACTGTGCAGTGGCAATTCCCCAAAGACCTGACCAGACAGGACAGGCCAGCTGGCTGATGAGGCTTCATCCACTTCAGAACTGTTTTGTAGAAATGAATTGGGACCCAATCCTAGGAGCGTGTATGTCTCTACTAAATGGTTTTTGTTTTTAGTAGGTGTTTAAACTTATTCAAAAATAAGCTGAAAGCTGCAAGCACCAGGAAGGAGGAAGGTAGAAAGCTTTCTTCCTCTTCTTGCTGAGCACTGTCCAGGCAGACTGGTAAGGCAAATATTCATTATGGATTGTAACTCACTTTGCTTTGGTTTTAGATGCTTCCCTTAAGAAAAAAGAAATCTGTTAATAAATGATTTAAAAAAACACAGAACAAGGTTAGATTATTAAGGCAAGTATCAATTACAAAAGTACAAGCTGAGGTCTTTCTCTATTTAATCTCAACATGTTAAAGGGTAACAATACTTCCACACCCAACCCTGCATTTTTTCTATTCTTGAGGTATAAGACAACAGATATTTTTACTGCTTATTATGTGCCAGAAAGCATTCTAATCACTTACATTAAATAACTCTACAAAGAGGTAACATTACTTACTTGCTTTTATATTTGTGGAACCTAAGGCCTACTGAGATTTCAAATATAGTATCTTGCCCAACATCACAAGTGAGGAGATATAATGAGGCCAGAAGAAGCAGCTCAGAAATCCATACTGATATTTAATTTTTCAAAACTCCAAACTTCTTTCTTTTAAAAATCACCTTTAACACTTTATTCTCCCACAAATAATTTGATGTTATTGCTCCTACCACTACTTGATTTAAAAGAAAAAAATTATATACTAATTTGTAATATTTTTCTTTACTCCACATCTGTAATTTTGTGAACATCTTAAGAAAATATTAGTCATAAAGCCAATAACTATAATCATCAGTATATAAAGGAAAAACTTCTTTCTATAATACAGGGTGGGGCGAAAGTAGGTTTACAGTTGTTTGTATGGAAAAAAATACAATAAATAATAACACAATGTTTCACATATTCACAACTATAAACCTACCTTTGCCCCACCCCGTGTATAAATCCCAGTTACCAAAGTACTACATACCATTAAATAAGCTCCTGGAGATTATTTCGTCTACCCTTTAAATCTCCTCACAGTGCCTAGCACATAGCAGGTACTGAAATATTTGTTAGATAAACTGAATTAGAGCAAATAAATAAGTTGGAACCAATTGTATATTCAAACACTATAGAATTTTCAGAAAACAAAGTCTACTTAAATTATTTTGTGACCTGAGATGAGAAAAAAAGACAAAAAAACAAATGCAGAGCTAAGCAGTCACCAGGTGGAAGTCACCATTACAACCACAGTAAAATGTACTGGCTCTCCACTGTAAATCACTGAAAGCAAAAATAAGGTAGGTCTGTTAACATTATTGCAAGTGTTTATTCAAGAGATAATAAAAAGAGTTGAATTCTAACAAAGGAATATTTTACCAGTAATCCACCCTACAATAAAAAGTAGAACTGGGACCATTTACAACACATAAATAAATTCTTTTACATTTCTGAAAAAAGCTGTATTTGCTTCTGAGAGAGCCATTTCTTAACTTTTGCTAATAAGGCTTTGTAAATTGTGTTCAGAAACTTTGACAATACACACACACACACACACACACACCCTTCAAATAAAGGAAGTACCTAGGTAATGTTCACTCCAGGCCGAGTGGCCGGGTTTTTCAAGTACCTAGGACCCTGTAACTTAAGACTGCATATGTCTCCATGAATTCAATTTGCATTGCTGTTTACTTTCTACAATTTTTAACAATAATTAGATCAAAGTTTATTAGACTTTATAACTCCCTCAAATTATACTTTAATATCTGACGTGGTAGTTTCAAAAAATAAATATTCAAGGCCTTAGTTTTAAATTTTCCTTCAGTGTAACGCACAAAGATGATAAATATTAATAGGACTACCTTAAAATAAAGTAAATGTAGCTTTCTTCTAAAAATCACTTGTTATACTACAGATCACATTCTATTCTATATTTCTGGTAAAAAAAAAAAATAATAAGTCTTTTGGTAATAAAACAAGAGTTTGGGATGATTAATTCGGTCCTTGGAAATCTTAATGGCAGTCATTCAATAAAGTCAATCATTCCTGGAGTCACAAACACTCACAAATTACTGTTATTGATCAAGTTTTTCTTTTGTTTTGGTTTTTTTTTGGTGGTTTTCGCTTTAGTTGGTAATATCTGACTTTAAGACAGAGAACATCTCCCACTAAGCCTTATTTTAAATATTACAAAATGTATGCAGACGATAAGACTCATAGAGGCTATAATGCTGATGTCTTAACTCACCCATGAAATGGGTGCAGGTTTTTTAGAGAATATTCAGACATGTTTGCTCTAGAAATAAATGCCCCTATTTTTCAGCGTGTTCCTATTCTTCAATAGGAGACGTAAGCAGCTTAACAGTTTTGCTACAAAAACAAACAACTCTTGTTAACAAACCAGAACGATAAAAGGAAACTGATGAAGAACAGTTTTCACAGTTAACAATAAATAAAAGTGCAGTAAGTGTTCAAGTAGGGCACGTAGTTTAAAAACTACATGTGAGTATTTGGCATAGGTCATCTTTTAAAGGCTCTCCGAGGGTCCCTGCCATTACTTATTGTGGTCATGACTGTTTGAGTATTAGCTGTTCCTGGTAGCTGTGGATTTATAGGTCCCCGGCCACTGCTTCTATCAGCATAGGAAAATTGGCATCCCCTTGATTCTGGGCCAGGCTGAACCCCATTTCCTAAAAAAGAATATAAAAATTCATCACCATTTTCAGATTCTGATCTATAGAGGTACACCTATTTGAAGTTCTAACACATGCTATAAATGCTTGCAAGTAATATTAGGGAAAACAAACGCCTTTATTTTTAAACTACTGGAAAAACTCAATGTGGGTTCTAGGTTTTTTCAAACATGACTACTGTAAGTATATTAACTTGATGCTGTATTAACAGGGAGAAGAAGAGAGAGTAATGTGGGCAATAAAATGAGAAATTGGTCGAGCAGAAAAAAAGTACAGATAACACACTGCCTACATTACACGGGGGCAAAACAGAGCAAGGGCAAGTGGTGTATGAGTGCCGGCATTTGGTTCAAATATGGTTAATAACGTTTCAAAAGAGACAATGTAATTCTAACTTTTTAAGGAAAAGCCAGCAAAGTATCCCACGGTGTGATGATCACCAGCTGTGCTAAAACGTGTAGCTATCAGTTCAAATAAATAATAGTCACCCTAAAGGAACTCCAATTACAAAAAACTTTTCCTCAGTTATTTAAGAATAAAACTTCAAAAAACCTTTAACATGGCTACAAGAACCATTAACATGACATTCAAGGGTATTTGAAGGGTAAAGGCTAATCTTTTAAAGAAACAGCTATCAGCATGTGAAAAATTAAGATGAGTTATTAGTCTGAAGATAAAGGCTTTCAGTGCATTAAAATGACCAGTAATTCTGTATCTGTTACAATCACCAGATTACAGAAATGTTATTAAAGTCAAAGGAAAAATTATGACATATCACCAAAACATAGATTTCTATATAATTAGCCAAGATTCACTGCTGTATTCCTAATAACTGGCCCAAATGTTTAAAATATAGACTGTGCCCAATAAATTAGTTTAAGAGGGTATCTGCTTTCTAGAAAATCAGCTATTTTGGAATTCCCTATTTACTAGTAGTTCCCTTTTAAAACTAATTTATGCCTAATGATAATTTTGTCCTCTAAAGCTTTCATAAAATATTTATTCTCACACCTGATTACAATTATGCCAAAAAAAAAAAAAGTCTTACCCACTTGTCCAAATGTACCCGTACCCATATTACCATTCATGGAATTATTCTTCTGTTCACTATGTGCCTAAAAAAATGTTTTTAAATTTAACCAAATGAAGATCAAAACACACACACACACACACACACACACACGTTTACATTATTATAACATGTATCCATTCCCTTTTTAAATATTTAAGGTTTTCTTAAACAGATTTTTTAAAGAGTTATTCAAGTCCATTTAATGTTAAAATATTCATGAATGTTTCCCAAACCTTTCATCTTATTGTGTTTCCTGATATTACTCCCCACTCCCCAAAGTGCTAAACGGTACATATACTTAATATTTGACACTACAGATACATATTCAGACTCACAAAACATACAAAATAAAAATGACTTTAAGAAAGATTCCTTTCTAAATTGTCTTCATTGTACGCTGTGTGTGACACGGTTGGCAATCTCCCCACAGAATTATAGTACACGGTCAAAATTAGCCTAATCATCAAAACAGACTATACATTTGGATTAATTACCCCTTTGCTTTGTTGTCCTCGATAATCTGGATTGGGTTCACTGAAATTTGGTACTTCTGAATAAACCATACAAAATCTGAAAGAAAATAAAGGATGAGTTCAACAACTTCTGAAATATAGTAATCAACCTTTCTTTATATAACACGCATAACTTACAGGAATGAAGAATTTAGGTATCAAATTAATTAATTAAAAAGCAACATGCTAACTTTATTCATTTATAACAGAAATTTACAAAACACTATGTTCCATAAAAAGATCAAAGATCTAACTGCCTACGGTATATGAAATATTCTCTTTTGTATTTTAATTCTTCTTCTGTACCACAAAAATAAATCATGTCAAAGATCAAGGACACAGAAACACATCTGTTTCCACATAGGCTGATGCCACTGAACCATGTTTAGGGTTCCAGAGTGGTTTTTCCAGCAGTGGTGATGGATTAGCACTGATCCAGTCACACACTCTCATCCAGTCCCTCTTTTGACCAATCACTGTGAATCTGCAAAGATAATCATTTAACGTTAAGAGTGGATTCTATAGGTATGAATAAAGACAACTGCCTATCAATATGACAATTTATCCCATTGTTTCTTGGTATATATTAACATTGCACAAAAGCGCCTCACCCCACAAGAAAATAGAGCTAGTTTTGGTAAACGCTAGACTGACCCTGACAAAGTCACTAAGAACTGAGTGACCTCCAGTGGTTTTTCACTTAACTGACCTCCATTATTATAAATATTTCTCTATATGTGAAGGTCAGGACAGGATCCTAATCTTTCAGTAATATTGATGTTAAGCTCTTTCATAACACTTGCTCTAATAATACTCTAAATACAAACAGAATATAAGTGAATCCTAATTTTTCTCCTAGCACAGACAGTGTTACCAGTTTCTGATCTTGAAAAGCTACCAAGATTTTTTCCCCTCACACAAAGTATCTTATCCCTACAGTAAGGAAGAGAATTTTCCTCTATTTGTTTATTTATATATTTATTTTTTGGGTGCCACTTCTGGCTTCTCTCTTTAAATATCCTCTAATTTAATGGGCATCAAATAGATGTCTAAGCATTAACCAAGTGGAATGGACTAATGATTAGACTTAGTGCCTCCACCAAAGTTAAAAAGTACATCCCAAATGTCTAGGCTAGAATGGAGGCTGAATTACCTTTACACCCCTAGAGAGGATGGCTCCTCCAAGTCAGGGTGGAGATTACCAAGGTAAGTAAGTAGTGCATGGAAGCTCCCAATGCCTGTACGGTACCTAAACTGTGGATAAATAAAGGACTTCAATTGTCATTGCTACAAGTCCTTTTACCATGAGTACATACTCACCCATAAACAGAGAAAAAGAAATGTTAATCTCATGGCCAAAACCCATACCTAGCTTCTTATCTGGCAATTCACTAGAAGACAGAACCTACCTCAAATGGCACTCATGACACCTGAAAAATACACATTCCCAAACAAAACAGTATATTGATAGCTGTCCAACCAATATATACATGGAAAGTTGTTTTTACAGTTTAGTTTCTGAAGACATTCGATTTACCGGCCAAAAACAAGCCAAGGAAAAGGTTTATAATGTATACCTACCAGTTATTTTAAAACATTCTTTGTAATTTATTCAATTATACAAAATGTACGTAATACTTACTCCCCAATTTTTTGAAGTTCTCCACCCCTTCCAGTATAAAGCGTCAGACATCCTTTCCACATGGACGCATACCTGGAAAGAAAAGAAACACCAGTTCTGTGGAAATACGCATATTTTCTTCTACTTAAATCAAGTAAATCTCTATCTTTTTTGTATTGGGTACAGATGGGGATCAAACCCTATGCCTAACATAGTAAATCAAATACAATTAATTAATCTAACTTTGATTAACTTGTTATTTACTAAGGAATAATACAAAGAAAACTCTACTGCCAAATTTTGACATAATCATCTAAACTATAACTAACTCTAGAAAACAGAAGGCCTTTTTGCAAAGCAAGCACTGTTATACTCCAAAGGTCACGATCTTCAGTAAGTTATCAAAGGGAGAACTTACAACTGCAGAGATTTAAGCAGAAATTATTTTTCAATCACAGAATATATATAAAATTAACACCCCAGTATTAACTTTTATACTCATTTACTTTTTCTAGTCAGATATTGATGAAATTGCTTTTCCTTTACCTCCATAAAACACATTGGGTTCCCAAGCTACAAAAATTGGGTAAAATTTGCCTGGTCAGTGTGGCTCAGTGGATTGGATTGGGTCCTGGTTCAATTTCTGGTCAGGGCACATACCCAGGTTGCGGGCTCAATCCCCAGTAGGGGGCGTGCAGGAGGCAGCTGATAGATGTTTCTCTCTCTAAAACAAATCAACAAAAAAATCTGGGGGGTATAATTAAATCAAGGGGCTAAAAAAAACTAATATCACAAATCTTTCACCCATCTGCCTTCCCAAATTTTCAATTTTAACACCAAGTTCGCTGAACAATTTACTCTTAACAATTTTGAAAGCAGACAGCACCATTAGATAAGTAATCCTACACATCAACCAAAGAAAAAATGTCAATCAATATTGTAAAAATTAGTCTAAGGTTTGCTTTTCAGTGGTTCTTTGTACAACTACTATGGTAACTTCATGACTTAGAATAATAAATTATAACTAAATATTGTTTAACTAAGTATAGTGATAGTTCATCTTTTAATATAGGGAATAAAAATAAAAATAAAAATTTGCTAGTTCCACATTTTGTATTTCTCTTCATTTATAAGGGTTATTTATTCAAGACTCCATTCACCAATCTTAGATAAAAAGTGACTTAGAAGACAGTGCACTAATATATCACCTTACTAAGTAAAAAAATCAATGCATATTTTGAGAAAAAATTTGAAGATACTACAATTAAAGCATTTAACTTTCACTTGTCTCAGGAATGAGATAGACATTTGCTTGGTTTTCTGATAAACATCAATATTCAAATTACCATTATTCACATGTATACCTTTATTCAAAAGCCACTTTTCTTAGATTCAATCAGAATTTAAGGGCCTTTACAAAGGACCAGACTCTGCTGGATATATTTTAGCGAGTAAGATATAATTATTCCCATTTTATAGAAGAGAAAGTTGATGAAGTATTGTAACTTCAAGGTCACAATGAGGTTAGGATTTTCTTTAGTTTTGAATTTTCCTTAAATTGTACTCCTTGGTAACCATCTTCCTTAAAATCCCATAGATACTATACAGCTATTGAATTTCTAGTTTTTCCATTTTTTTGGATGGACACATCTATGTATTTTTCCTGACTATAAAGTATGAAATATTTGAAAGGAGATGCTGTTTACAGTATATAAAATACTTTAAATCACTAGATAAGATACTCTGGCAGCCAAAACAACTTTAATTAAGCTAATCTTCACTACACCCTCCCAGGTAGGAATTCTTTTGTGGAAGTTAAAAAGACACAATTAGTGTCATAATGAGTCAGTGTATGAGAATTAAATGTCTAAATCCTGACTCCCACCACTTCCTTCTTTGATGATACTCTGCCTCACTTCCTGATATGTAAGTCCTGTAAGATATTATCAAAGGGCTCATACATTCAGAGTTATCCAACATTCTCTGATTCTATTTATTATGCCATCAATTTCCATCCACTTTTTCTATAGTTATGACCAATAAATTATTACAATTCTATTGACCACAAAGCTTCCAAAAATCTATTTTAAGACCCTTTTCTGGCCTTTTATCCTCTTAAGATAAAGATTTGGCAAATTTGAAAGGCAGTCTAATTACCAAACATTAAAAAAAAAAAAAAGAAGGTTGTACTAAATTATTTTTAAAAGCCAATCTTCCAACTGACTTTTTTGGATGAAGATATAGATGTCTTCCTGCCAAACATTTTCTGCATATCATTCTGGTTTTTGTACCAGACTGATTTTACAACCTAAGCAACAAGAAATCATTTTCGAGAATGTGCCTTCCAGATATTGTAAACTTCTCCTCTAAATAAAATAGTACAAGTAAAATATTGACAGGATTTCATAACTCATTAAAAAGGGAGGAAAAAACTGACAACTATATTAAATAATTTATGAAAAAGATAAAATAGTGGCTATGTTAATCTTATCAATCTACTTTAGACTCAATATTCCTAGAACAGTATTTAAAAATCGATTTAACCTGCAAATTGGGTGGGTGGGTGGGTGTGGGTGTGTGTGTGTGGGGGGGGTAGATTTCTGGCTAAAACTGACTGCTTTTAAAGGCAAGGCTGTTACATCCTAACGCTGTCCATCATCCAAAATTAATATCGAAGGGGCTCAAAACTCCTCGGGGGCTCACAAAACAGACATGGAACTTTAGAACTTGCCAAGGTCCCAGGCATCAGCCAATTCAGATTCCACAGACTGCAACTTAGAAAGTACTCCCCCGCCCCCCTTTTATGCAAACCTACCCTCTGGTTAACCGAATAATATCTCCTGGTTGTATAAGACCTCCAATTTCATCCCACACGGAAATAGTGATGCTGCCCGTTTTATCTGCTACTTTGCAAGATCTCACTTCATGGCCGTCTTTGGTTTTGGTCACGCGTCCTATGGAGATTTAAAAATCAAAAGGGGGTGGTGTATTAGATAATGAGGACTTCCAGAAAAGCTCTCTAACTCCAGCTCCGGGATCTTAACACATCTGAAAGGGGAGAAGAGGTCGAGCCCAGGGTTCCCCGCCAGATCCAAGGCCGGGGTGGGGGTGGGGGTGGAGGTAGTGGGGGTGGGGGACAACGGCACCACGTGGATGCAGGAAGGCTGGGGAAGGAAAGGGAGGGGGAGGGGAACCCTTCGTTCGCGGCGGCGGCGGCGGCGCCCTTCCCTCCTGCCCCGCGACGCACAGGGGCGGCAGGATGGGCTCCGGGCCCCACTTACCTATCTCCAGGACAATAAAGACGACATTTAAGTTTTTCAGTCCGGGCTTAATATCTTTTATAAAAAGAAGTGGGTCGTTGACCCCATTCATATTGAGGCAGGTGCGGCTACGGCTGCGGAGACGCGGGTGGGAAGGGAGCGGGACAAAGCTTCCCACCCTCCCGGGTCGGGGGCGAGGGCAGAGGGGCGACCTTGGGCGGGGATGGCAAGAGAAGGGGCAGAAAGCGATTAGTCAGGGACCAAGGAAACCAGCCAGAGGGCACTGAGCCTTTTAAAAAAAGAAAAACGAAAAAAAATAAAATAAAAAAAAGCTCACAAGTTTAAAAGAAAAAAAGATTTAACCACTCCGCACACCAACCCCCTCCCTACAGGGCAACAGGAAGGCAAGCGTGCGAACTGCCCTCTTCTTTGGATAAAAGGCAGAAAAAAAGACAGCGAGGGGACGCCTCTGCCCTGAGTCCCGCTCACATACACGTGGGCGCGCGCCCAATCCGTCCCGGGATCCGGGAAAGGACCGGCTGTCACAGCGAACCGGGAGCAGAGAGCCTGAGCCACTGCTCACCCAGCGTCCCAAACAGCGACTGCCGAACGCGCCCGCGCGCCGGCTGAAGCCCTCCGAGATTCCCCGCCCCTTGTGACGTCAGGAGATATTGCCACGCCCACCGCCCAGCCCGCCAGGCACGGAGGAGGGGAAGCGAAGGGGTGGGAACACACCGAGGACGCCAGCGCAGCCTCCCTCGCTCCTCCCCAGGCTGTCAGCGCGGGCCCCGCCCCCTCAGCCTTCCAATCGGCGCTCGGCGCCGCCTCGTCCTTCTACCGCTTCCGCCGTCGCTGTGCGGCGTCCACTTAGCTCTGCCTAGTCGTCGTCGTTTCGGCTTCTACCGCTCACTGCCAATCTTCTTTAAGGGTTTCTTGTTTTTGTTCCTTCCTCTAAGTTCAGTCCCCCACCTCGGCCCTTTAGTCCCGCAGTCACGGGGAACTTGTGCTGTGTGTAGGGCCCCGTGGGTACGTCAGAAAGTACGCTGTGCTGTAAGAACCTGTTCAAGGGAGGGTGGCGGGCCGGGGTTCAAAGGGAAAACCAGAAGGGATGGGACCTTAGCTGCCAGTCTGGAATTTTAGGACCCGAGGGAACGTAGAGATCAAGTGAGCCGCCTCATTTTAACCATCTTTAAATTGAGGTCCGGAAAGGTGAGGGTAGGGTCACCCAGCAACTTGTAAACAAGCAGGACCTCAACACTGGCCCCTGACCTGGTCTTGCACTTGTCCCTCTGCAGTAATTAGGCGATAAGTTCCTTTGTAAACTTACTTTCCATTACCCTTTCTCACTGAGATTGCACCTATTTGCTTTTCTTCTCTATGCTTATTTTTTTTTTTTAAATACACTAATTTTGAGAGCAGTTTTAGGTTCACGGCAAAATTTAGAGGCAGGGACAGAGATATACTTTCTACCCCAACACGTACATTGCCTCCTCTGTTAGCAGTATCCCCCACCCTACTGGTACATTTGTTACAGTTGATGAGCCTACATTAGCACGTAATTATCACCCTAAGTCCATAGTTTACCTTAGGATTCACTGTTAGTGTTGTAGATTTTATGGGTTTGTACAAATGTATAATGAATGACATATCCACATTATAGTATATAGAGTAGTTTTACTGCCCCCCCAAATTTGTGTGCCACCTATTCCTTGTTTCCTCTCCCTTAACCCCTGGCAACCACTGATCTTTTTATTGCCTTCATAGTTTTGACTTTTCCAGAATATCATGTAGCTGGAATCATACATTATGTAGCCTTTTCAGATTTGGCTTCCTTCACTTAGTAAAAATATGCATTTAAGTTTTCTTCATGTCTTTCCATGAACTATCAAATCATGAACTTGTTTTTAGATATCAAAAAATCATAAAACAGCAGTGGGAAACCCTGAAACATTATAACCTGGGGGGGGGGTGGAGATAAAGTTTTTTTTTATGTCATGTAGTGAAAATGGATAGCTTTAGAAACAAACCTGGGCTCAGACTCTTTACTAGCTGTGTGACCTTTAGACGTTTGATTAAGATTTCCAGCTTAATTTAATCATCTGCAAAGTAGAAGAGTGTCTTCCTTAGAGGATTACATGGGCTATAAGTAAATTATTCAGCTATTGCCTAGCAAATAATAGATACTCACTAAGTATTTTCCCCTCATATATTTTTTTATTTTTGAAGAAAAGAAAAACAATAATACCTTAAACTGTGGTTGTTTAATCCTTTCATCCATGCTGTGCTGACTGCTGATTTTTAACCCCATTTTACAGATGATGAAACTCGCCAGAGACCACAGAGCTAGAGAATGGTCAAACTGGGTTTTGAATCTGGGAAGTCTTGACCCCAGAGCCCTCCAACCTAAAGACTTAAATTGCAGTGGTGAAATTATAAAAGCCAAAAGCAAACTGAAGAAATAAAGTGTTAGCAGTAAGACATATCTTGTAGGGCTTTCAAGAATCATCTAATTAACTGTTCGTGATGATAAAAGAAATGTTGAGAAGAGTGTCAGAGAATTTGCATGGCAGAAGCCCTAATTTTTTCTTGATTCTTTCTGAATATTTTTAGGTCAACCACTACATACCAAACATTTGCAAACAAATGGTATAGATACATTAATGCCTGAGAAAAGAGTTTCAAAATCACATTAGCAGGAGAGTCAAGACAGTATTAAGGAAGCAGAAGCTTCAATTTTATTAACTAATAAGGCCCACAGTGCCAAAGACACTGTTGTAATGCTGGAAAGTGGTGTAAAATAATATTTAAAGCATGATTTCAACATCAAATAAAACAAATAGTGAAACATGTCAGTTAATGGCAGAACTACATGCAACCTCAGGGCTCCCAGACTCCCAATCTGAATCAGAAGCTCTTATTCCACCATGATTATTTGATAGGACTTGATGCTTCAGTTGGATTTTCCTCAAACATATTCTTCAACACTGGCAAAAAAAAATTCTCACAGAAGCACTATTTAAATCAGACCTTTTTTTTTTTTTAAGGTTTGACAAGATCTTTAAAAGATTAACAGTAGACAGGAAACCAATTAAGAATGTTGAACATGGTTGTGGCCAAGAGTTTGAACAAAGAAAGTTAGCCATTCCTTGCCCCCTCAGCCATTTGCTCCCAGAAAGGGGATTAGGTAGGTTTGCTCAGACCAATATTATTGACATTTATGAAGAAGAACCAAACAGTTAGGAAACCAAGCCCCACAAAAGCAGAAGCTGGTGCTTACAGGAATAGCCCAGACCTCCCCTTCCCCCACAGGACAGAACTTGGCCAGATATGTACTTCCTTCCCTACTAACTAGCAGTTCTCAGAAAGTAAATGGCAACCCAGTGCTTTCCCATTTACCAAAACGAAAGACATTCTTGTGAAACAAGATGGTGTAGGCTTTGTAGGAACTCTTCAACCCAGGCCCAATCACTTCTCCTAGGTGGTGGTTAATAAAGAGAAAGGGGATGTCCAGAAGGGGATGACAACTGTTGTCACTCATAAACTTTCCTAATATCCATGAAATAAACAAATCCATCACTGTCTCAGGCAGTTAGGTCATAATGATTATAAAGATGGTCTGCTTCCTTCTGAGACTTGTTCTTCAGGCCTCCTCATTTTCATAGCCCAACCATAAACTTATTCTGAGATGATGAGAGATTTATGTTTATAATCTCAACACCATTACTCCATGTAAAGAAGACATTGCTTAGTGAGACCCAACACAATACATGAGGGCATCCATTATAATCCGGAAACACAAGGTTCCAGTTATCTGGGTCCTCACTGACAAAGGTTTTTCTGTAAATGTTTCCTGCTTACTACCCATTACCCATGCTCACTCCTAGGTTCTGATCTCTGGGATCACAAAGTTCATTTTTACTTTCTTTGCACTATCCATCAGTTTAAAACTTCTATCAATAAAACGAGTACTGTTTGATAACAAACATCTTGTGTGATGAAACTAACAATAAGAAAATTAACAAAAACTACAGTGTTTTCACATTATAAAGATATGTAGTCCACTTTGTAGCATAACTGGCAAGATTTTTAAAAAAGGTATTAATGCTTTTAAAAATATTTAACCCAAAGACTCATAAGTAATGTTTAGTAATATTTGCAACAATAGCCACACAAACCATCCCTATAATGATAAACACTAACACGTGGAGCATTTGCTATGTGCAAGGCATTTTACACTTATAAGCTTGTTATACTTAATATATTACTTAATAATTAATATATGTGAAATAGATTTTCTCAATTTATAGCAAGTTATGCAGCTGGTATTTAAAACTGTGTTACATGCAATAACATTTTTTTAAAAACAGGTTATTTGTCCTAAAAAGCACATTTTGTTGGTTATCTAAATTGGTAATTTGATTTTTTAAGGCTTTGCAGTGATAAGTGCAGTAAAGTTGAATACTTTTTTAGTTTTCCTTTGGAAGAAATGCGTGCCTAAATGGGTTAGTTCAACTCAGCTGTACATCTTTTAAATGATATAGAGTGAAGAACTTTAGCTTTTGTGTTCTAAAAAGTTTTTTCAAGTACCCCCTACATATAAATAGCTGCCTGAATTTGATGTTTATTCACCTGAAAAAAATATATATATTGGCCACAGAACTAACCCAAAACTAATAAAACACAATTATTTCTTTATTGGTGGAAGATTTATCTAACTGGAGTACATATCGTAGTTCTCAAACTTAAAAGGATATTGTAGGAAATGCTACAAATCACATGTGCAAAGAGAGATAAGAAGGCTTCTGTAGGATAAGAAGTCCTTTTCATATTTTGTGTCTAGATGCTTCAAAAAGTTACTACTATTTGCTGATATTTTTCAATGTATTATGTTGCTATAGACGGAATATTTGTGTCCCCCAAAATTTATATGTTAAAATCAAATCCCCAATGTGATGGTATTTGGAGGTATTCGGGGCCTATGAGTGGTGCTTAGGTATCACACATGCACACATATACCAGTAAATCGCCACAAACAAAGAGTAAATATTTCCTACAAACCCCTAAGTGAGAGTATTTCCCCTATGAGCACAGAATGTCCCAGTTGGAGGATGATTATAGATAATATACTCTAACCCCTTCATTTTATGAAAAAATACAGATACGTGAACAAGATCACCACCTACAGCCCCTAATGAATTAATTTTTTTTCTTCATTGATGTGTATGTGTGTGTGTGTGTGAGAGAGAGAGAGAGAGAGAGAGAGAGGAAGGGAGAGGGAGAGAGAAATAGAAACATTGATGAGAGAGAACATCGACTAGACACCTCCTGCATGTCCGCCTCTGGGGATCAGGCCCACAACCTGGGCATATGCCCTGACCGGGAATTGAACCAGTGACCTCTTGGCACATGGGTCAACCCTTAACCACTAAGCCACACTGGCCAGGCCAGCCCCTAATGAATTAATGGATCTCAGTAATAATCATTGTAGGCTGCTAATACGACAAGAGAGACAACCAGTCCAAACCAATTAAATTAGAATCTCTAAAGATGGGACTCAGGAATCAATATATTTTTAAACCCCTCAG